GCTCTTTTGTTTTCTTGATTTAAAAGGAATGATTATTATCTTCTATTGAAGCTGTTTGCTAGTGAGTATGCTCACTCAGAACACGGTGACGAAGTTGTCTCCAGTTTCGAAATTTTAATATGAACTTGCAATATGTGCAAAACAAACAAACAAAAAAGACTTTAAGGTGCGTGGCTAGCACCACCTCAGTGGTGTTGAAGTCTAAGAGACCTCATTCTAGGGAGAACTGTTACATCATGGTCTTATGTTGCAGACCGCAAATCGCCGAAGGCAAACTTAAGCTGTAATTGCAAGTGAACCGCAGAATGAAAAGCGCTCCACATAAGTGAAGTCACACAATCGAAGACATGAGAAATTTGATTTCTTATGAACTGATTGCGTTATTTCTTAGAATTAGGCACGGACTGCCACACCAAAATAATAGCTGTAGCTGCTCGTACTTCACCACTACACACGAAACGCTTGCGGAAGGGTCTACAATGTGCGCCTCAATCCCAGCAATTGTTATTATGAGCGCACTCAAGCCATACGCATCTTCATTATCACCACGAGGCTGGTACATTTAGTCTTTCCCAGAAAAGTCACACAGGGCCCTTCAAGTGAGTGCCATTTTTTCATCATTCCAAGGAACTTGCACAAAATGCAAGAACTTTAGCTAGATCACCGATAAAATCAACAATTTGTGGTTTAATTTGTACAATTGTGATTTCGAAGGATTCCTATTGTATTATTTATTTATTTATTTATTTCACCAAAGTGCAGTCTTGAAGGGATATCGTTAAAGTTGGGGCAGAATAAGAAAAAATTGCAACACAAAGTGTCCAGAGCCGTACGATCAGTGGTTATAATGTACAAATTGAATTGATCACGTTGAAAAAATTAACATGGCTGGCTAAAGCGCTCGGTAAATTGGTAGTTCGACAGAAAACTATTTACACCATTGATTGATACCCATTTGATCGGAGATTAAAATGCGACATGTTCAACTCATGACGATGTTTGGCGGATGTTGTTTTTCATGGTTACGATGTTGTTGCTGAGTAAAGAAAATAGGGAACCGTCATTGAGAGCTTAAAGAGACTTTAAAGATTACAGATGATGGTGAGAAGAGAGAGAGAGAGAGTAGTAAGCTGAAGACTGTGCAAACTTATACTATGAAGTAACAGTCGAGAATGTATACCTAAACATTGTTTACATGCTCGTAAAAATAAATGACAATGTGAGAAGATCACGTTGCATAACTGAGAGGTTCCTTTTCACAATGAATGGGTCTACAAATCTTATTTTGCTCATTTCGACATCGAGGCTGTGGTAACTTGCCGTGATTTGTGTGGTTTCCCCATAAACAAGGAACATCATCATTAACCGTCACGTGCTCTCTTCGTCTTCTCCCTCATCATCGTCTACACCTTCTGCTTTGTTTCCTAAACACAAACGCCAATCTTTTTTTATTATCTTTAGACAAAAAAAACTAAATGCATTTTCGATTCAGACCAGAACACCTGAGGCTCGTGTACTTATATTTTGTTTAACGTTAGAAAACTCCAGAAAGTCAAAATTTCGTAGCCCTTCACTGCAACGTCTGTCATATTTATATCGTTATTTTAGAACGTTAGACTTCGATAAATATTCTCATTATCTTCTCATAACTAGAAACAACTGTCTCTTACGGGTACGGATGGGAGAAACTGCTAAATCGATAAGCCAGGGTGTACCAGCAAGCGTCCAGCCCGTTAGCATAGAGGAATATAGTATATAAAGAGTGGCCACTGGGGCCTTTTCACGGCCCAGCAAGAAGAGTCTGCCCTACTGCTAGATGGCGTACCCATTCTCGCTTTTATTTCTCTATTAACACATGTATCGGCCTTATCAGGAGTACAATGAATACTCAAGTTTGGCATCTGTTTTTTGCAAAGAAGATTTTTTTTAATTTGTGCAATTTTTCCGTATCTGCTCCACATGATATCCCGCTGAGGACTTTCAATGCCTTATAACAGAAAACCGCGAAGTATGATTAGAAAAATGTTGTCTTTCTGCATTTGGTTGGCACAAAAAGGCACATTCATGTGGTTTAGATGTGCTGTACATGTATTTCCGTCGCGAAACCATGGTTGTGTAGCCTATTGGAAAAGACGCTCGCTCTCGGAGCATGAGGTTGCGGGTTCAAATCCCATCGTCGGAAAGAAGGAAATTTTGTTATCTTATTTATGACATTATCGGGTCTCAACAACCACTCGTGGCGCTGAAAGGAGCGCAGTAGCTGGGTCGCAGGTCCCTACGGGAGCGTCCGCTCTTTATGTGAGTTTCTCTATGCCGTTAGTGGGAATCAGAGGGGTATGTAGTCTTGCTGTGATCTTCATCTTCGGATTGCTTACTGCAGGTACAATCGTGGAGTTGGTCTACGAGATCATCACTCCTTTTTCAGATCAGCGTACAGCCCACTAAGCCTCCGTAAGGCTACACGTGAACCCAATCACCTGTTTATTTCATTCGTGCTTTTTCTGCTGCTGATGCTCATTAAATGATCAGCAGCAAAGGCACTGTCCTCGTCAGCCGGCATCGAGGACAATTGCTTCCGAAATTCAGCATTGCGTAATATACGGCTAGAAATGATGTGTTCATTGTTCTATACTACCCTATAATTTTTGTTCGTAAATAGTTACCACATTGTACATAATTGTAAATCTAGGAAGACATATTTTAAGTAACATTAAGTAATTTTAGTTATTTTAAGTACTTTTTCCTGTTTTAAATTTATACGACCACTCCCCTCTGTAATGTTTTTTTTTTTGCCTTGAGGGCACCAATACCAAAAATAAAATCTGAAATATGTCAGAGTGCTTTGTTATACGTAGGCCTTTAAAATACCATTTCGCTGAAACGTTCACAGGTTTTGATGCTTGGCGTGATCCCGCCCCTCAACCACGCAACACTACGTGCGTTAAGAAGCCTGCTTCCACTGCGTGACATTCATATAGTTATTTTTTGTTTTCTTCATTTGTCAACGCAATTTTAAGTATTATTAACTTTGGAGTAGAGCACGTGCTTGCCACGCAGACTGCCAGGCCTCAATTGTCACTCGAAACAGACCATTTTTATCACTTATTTAGTTAGCACCCTTCTTAGTTTTCCCGTCACGGACAAGATGATGGTTTCTCGCTTTCATCTAAAGGCACCGATATTGACGCGGATTCCGACACTGGGATTTCTTCGAAAACAGTTCTTTAACGCTATCGCGTTAAAATTTCGAGCCTTTAGTGGTACTGCCACACATTTTAAATAGCATTTAATTGGGTCATTCCAGTATTCTTGTGTTCTTCTGTAACTGCCTGTCCTATTGAGACTGCAGGCAAGCTAGCGCGAATTTGTTGCTGGCGAGAATATTAATATCTGTCATCTGTTCTACCATACAACTATATCTTCATTGATAACCAGCATAGCATTAGCTCGTTCCAGCCCATTCGTTATCTTGAAGATTTTGTTTGTTCATCACGAGTTATTTGCATAGACATAGATTTCTCCAAAAGCTTGGTGTCGCTAAAATTGGAACAAACTGCGCACTTTAGCCTTTGGCAGATCAGTTTGATAGCGCGTGGCCAGCAGGATGTAAAAGGCAAAAACAGTCAACACGTTCGGCATTTTATACGATTTTCCCAATCTACGGGTCTCACTCCCGGAAAGATAGGTTGCCTGTATGATGCAACGTGGCCCAGCATCCTCTTGAAGTATCCGGTTCGTCCTGCGACGTGGTGAGAAGCCAATCGTCCAGGGGCTGGTGCCGTCTGAAACGCACTTACACACATCGTCGCTAAGCAGGATTTCCCTTGTGCACACCGCCTATAGTTATTACCAAATGGCAACACTCAGGCCTTGAAAGCGAATACGCCCTGTACGCTTACCTTCGTACAATAAACCTTTCGATTTTGCGGAAATACTTCAAGGTCATAATATAACGCACGCATTCAATGTTTTCTGCTCGTAGGCCGGCTGCGAACGCACACTCTTGCCGCCGCTCATTAGAGTATTAGAGCGTATCGGCCCGGCATGTCGCCTCGCGCTGTCTCCAATGTGGAGCAATCATCCATTGGCCCGGAGCGGTCGGCGATATTGAATTACTTGAGTGTGATGACTCACTTTCGATTCGCGTCACGTGCTCGCTCGACGTCACCGCGCGCAGAAATTCGGACCGAGAGCGGAGCTCATACGCGTGTCCCCAGCGGGGCCGCTCTGTTTATGGGTTGCGTTCCGACCGCCTTGACCTTCGTCGCCAGTTGCCTTTTGTCTAGTTGGAAAAAGCTGCCTGCGGGGCACAATGGACGTTTTCTACAAGAAACCAGACAAAGGTGGATTTACCGCCATATTTGTTTCTTTTTAACTTTCCACATCTTCCGAGCTTTATTTTTTTTTTTTATTGCGAGCGGCCAAGCGTGTAACCGCTGTTACGAGCGATATATCAACGACGTCCTTGACGCAACGCGCGTCGCGCCGCAGGTTTGTTCTTATCTTTAACACCGTCCTGGTTTGGGCGCACGCCTAACGGCACACACGGCCGGAACTTCGCGTGCGCTGCCAGCTTCCGTTATCCTCGAAATGGCCGAAAATGCAAACATCGCCGGAGTTGTCTGGAGGTGTGAGTAAGTAGTGAAACGGACACACTCTTCGACCATTTTTACTTCGAATGACATTTATAAGAGACCAATGTCAAAAGATAAGTGAGGAAAGGTACTAGAGGAGATAAAGTTGGCGCGCCTGCGCAGGAGGCTAACGGGAGGGCGTTTATTCATTGCGGTTTTGTGACGTCACAGCTAGCCGGCAGCAGGCAAGCTTCACGCGCGTCCGATGCCATAACCTTGTGGGCTTCGGGCCGGACGTCGACTCGTCGTAGTCTGGCTTGGGGCGCTTGATTGAGAATGCGGAACGCGTCTGCTGAGATGGTCTGCGCAGATATAGGCGAGATTTCTGTACCACTCTCTCTCTCTCTCTCCTCCGAGACGTGAAGGTTCTGCACACCCCGTTCACGTTGAGTCGATGAGCGCGGTAAGAAGGGGAGCGCTCACACGGATCTTTTGCAACCGAGAAATACACTTTCACCTCGGCGGCAATCTCCAGCGGGACTCGTTCTGTTCGACGGAGGCACCCGCTCGCGCATCGGGATTGGTCACCCGATCACGCCCGTTATAAAACCGAGCGACGAGGGTGAACACCTTGCCACATCCGACATGAAGGCGCAGCAGGTAAGCGGCGAACTTCGACTGCTAGACAAGTGCGGTCGCGGTGACCACCGGGCTTTTCTAGATGTGACATCTGCACATTTCAAGAAGGCACAAGACTGGATTAACAGAAGCGCGTTGTTTCCTGCTTATTTCAGCAATTGGCATCCGCACTGCTAGCCCTATTTGTTTGTGTCCAAGGACAGGAGTACTTCCCATATGGCGCGGGTCTCAGTGGAATTCAAACAGGTATGTCCGTCTGTTAGTGGCTAAGCATTTTTTATGCATGGCATAGCAATCCTTGTCGCGGCTTTGCTAGTGCCAGCACACTAAACGTGTGAAATCTATTTTGCCCACGCAGGTCAAGTTCCAGCTGCAAATATTATAAGAGCGCCGCCATTACCAAATGCCCCTCTCAGCTCCGGCCCAGCACCAAATCTGAACTTACCTCTTGGACGCTCATACAAACAACCCGAAGGAGCCTATGGCATCGGCTCTGTCGTTCGAAATGGCCGCGTTTCCATTCCTCCTGGTGCCACAGTCGCTGCCAATGGTAATGGAAGGCTCACCGACGCGCTCGGCCTTGGAAGCCTGTACATTGAAAGAGGCGCCAACGGTGGCTCCCTGAGATCTCCCGGTCGGCTTGTTCGCATACAAAAGAGATCTGCTGATGAAAGCCGTGGCGGGCGCTTTTACTACAGTGAAGACGTCAGCACCGCCGCCTCTGAGCTTAGCGGGGCTGGAGTCTTGCCCAGGCATGACAAACAAGATTGGCATGATCGTACAAGTCTGTACAAACTCGCGAAGGAAGCCCTGAAAAAAAATCCGCGTAAGGGAATCTCGTTTAAGAAACCAGAGGGAAGATATGGCGTCGGCTCTATTTTTGATGGCGTGAACCCACCTTTTCGTAGTGATACTGAGAAGCACAAGACATTTGTAGGTAAAGTTGGTCGAAAGTATTCGGTTGATGAGCATGCGCCAAACTCACCAGAAGCTTTGAGAGTTCTTGCGGATCATACCAAAGGAGTATCCTACAAGAAGCCCGAGGGTGGATACAGCGTCGCTCTGTTGTTCGACAGGGAGAGGGAGACGTTATTCAATCCCTTCATCTATAGGCGCCACAGGAGGCAAGCCGTTGGCTCTGGCTCGGTCACCGCTGTTGTAGTCGAATTTGACAAGGACACCGATGCACCAGCCCCACCACGCTCACCTCCAACCAGCAGTTTCGCTCCTGTCGTAGGATTCACGGTGCGAGAACCGGAAGGTGGTACTCCCAGCAAGCACATCCTCAAAAACGTCATCTTCAGGAAGCGCCCAGGAAGCATTAAACCGGCGGTTTCCCAGGATGCGCCACCAACCAAGCCGGTGCTGAGAATTCCAGACAGCATCCAACTACCACCATTCGTTGGCGGGTCTCAAAAGAGTGGCGAGAAGTCACCTGACACTAAGACCGTTGCTGTACACGTACCTTCACAGGAGGACACTCGGCCGAAGCCTACCGTCTCCAAAAAGACTACCTCTACAGCAACTATCGAGTTTCGACCAACCTTCCCTGTGGGGCACACTAAGCCGGCTCTTCCCCCGCTGCCGAGACCATCAACTCCCCGCCACTCCAAGACTTCGCACTCCGACACTGACACCAGCTCCCCCAAGAAGGCGCCTTCGAAATCGACATCAGAATCGCACAAATTGGCTACCACACCTCTGGTTGCTGTGCCGCCTGGACAAGTGGTTTACAATCGACAGCTCGCTGGATCAGTGCCCGTGCAACCGGTGCGAAATGTTGCACTTCAGTCCAGACCTCCCGCCACACCGACGCCGACTTTGAGACCAGCGCCGACGGTGCAACGAGTGCCCACGCAGCCTCAGCTTCACGCAGCACGGCAGCCCGCCCCTCGAGTACACCCGCACATTCAAGCACAGCCTAACGTAATCGCTGCAGCACCTGCCCAGTCAACGGTCCAAGTACAGCCGACCGTCGTCGCCGCTCCACCACCTACCGCACCAGTGCCGCAGATCCAAACGATCGCAGCGTCCCCTTATCCGGGGGCATTGTACCAGCAGTACACCCCTTTGGACCCAAACACGTACCAGGTGGTCCAACCAGCACAGTACCAAACATTCCAGCACTCGCCCTACACGCTGCCTTACGCTGCTATTGTCGCTGATCCCTACAACCAAGCCAGGATTGTGCGATCAACTGTTGGAAGGCTGAGGCAACAAGCTTCACCGTATCACTCATCTTCGGTCTACGACTTGACTAAAAGGATTATCCAGGGAGTACACGCCTGAACGTCCAGATCTCGATCCAAGTGAGTACTTGGCCACGTCACTCGCTTGGCGGAGTCCTTTACTCGTCCGCTCTTTCTCGCTTCCGTTCCATTATTCAAATTGTGAAACTTTCTATACTTCTTAGAACGGAGCACACTCAATTTCGCTCTGCAGTTATCGGTAGCTGTGCGTGCCTCAGTGTGTTTAATTCAGCTCCGCTCGTCTGACGGCTTTTCCTTCTCATTCGTGCTTGGGGAATTTCTGCGTCCGCTTAAGTGTTCATCGGTGCGGTTCATTTCACGCACACAAAGACATAAATATGAATGAGATTCGCGGAGTCCGCTCTTATATCTGATCACTGTCGAAGCGGGAAATATTGCAAGAAAAAAAAAACGCACTCCGTCCCCCTTTTTTTGTTTTAAGTTTATTGATTCCTGGGAGCCGCGTCTTATTAAGCTAAAATTACTCTATGCACAGCTGTTCTTTCTTCAAAACCAAGTTGGTCCGAAAATGTTGTTTTTATTGAAAAAAAAAACAGACAGACTGTGTTCCAAGAGAATCTGCCATTTATGAGCATACTCCTAATAAAGCTAGCTTAATATATGCATGAGTTCTTCACAACTTGATATTTCCTCGATTGCCGCATCAAAATGCTTTCCCTTCAGTATTCGCAGTAAACCGGTCTTGTCAATTCGTTCGGGCGACATTTCTTCAAGGCAATACTATTATGCGCTTACTGAATAGTGCCACAAAGACTGCAATTTAGCATTGTTGTTGTTAATTTGGGTATTAATGTAGGAAATCGGTTAGAAAATTAGCTCGAAGACCGAGGCTTTCTCGGTCTTCGAGCTCACTTCGATACAGTTTCCAACTTCAACTTATTGATTGCTATCTATTACGTATATTGCATGGAAGCAAAAGTGACGCTGTCTGATTCCTACACCACCCACACACACAAATATATATAAATATATATATATATATATATATATATATAATATATATATATATATATATATATATATATATATATATATATATATATATATATTGAAGAAGTTTTTCCAATGGGCCAAACGTGCTTGGGAAGAGAAGAAACACAACTTAGCGGTTGTCTTAATTCTATTACCAACGGTTTTGACCGGTGACCGGTTTTCGTAAGGGTGTGCGTGCGTGCGTGTGTGTGTGTGTGTGTGTGTGTGTTTTATTTTACAAAATAGATACCTGCGAACAGCTAACTTGTTTTTTTTTTCTTTTCAGAGCATCATCGACTGTACAAAATCATCAAAGCCCTCATCCGCTGAAATAAGCCATCATTCAAAGTGAAATAAGCCATCATTCATCATTCAAATCTCAAGCAGCTAGAAAAGGCAAAGTGACAAGAAATTTCACTGCTTTATCTCATTGTCTTCATTTCTTAAGTTTATTCGTTTATTGTACTGAATAAATTATTGTTTAGGTTGCTCGCCTGTGGTTGTCTCAAATTTATTCCCTGTTATAAACAACAACGTGGTGACTCAAAAGTACTGAACTTTAAAAGTTCAGCCATAGTACTCGAATTATCACTTGAGCTAGAAGTTATACAGTTCATAACTGTGGACCATAAGCTATGTCAACTGAGCATAAAAAGTTAACTTGCGTTTATGATTGATTTAATCTCGCTTGAGTTACATCCACAATTTACAATTGAGTGGGATGGTTTATCAATAATACGGTGCAGAATCACGAGAGTTATTCAAGTAGATCTTGACAGTGAGACTTGATTGCACTAAGCCCACTTGATGCTTGTCCAGTAGGAGGGAATGCATAAAATAAAAGCACTTTATCCTGGTGGCTCATATTTAAAGTGTCTTCATTTGCAAAGTGAAAAAATGAACACCAAGAAAATACTTTATTCTGGTTGCTCATGTTTAAAGTGTCTTGATTCGCAAAGATAAAAAAGCTATACTGTTTTTCTTTTACCTTTAACTTATAGATTTGAATTGTTTTTCCACTTGAGGGTATCGTAGTATACAATGGAATGTACATTCATATCTATCAGAGCTCCATCTAGACTATATTGACTACAGTTGGCAAACGAGGAAAACACTGAGCAACAAGACAATTTGAAGCTGTGTAATAGTAGTAGATACATTGTCACTAAACCTGTATATGCAAGAACTAAGTACTAAACACAAAATACTCACAGGGAGCGCAGAAGTTATGCGAAAGAGGAAAACTGGACCAAAGAAACACAGCAGTGATGCTCTGCACTTACCCATTGGATGGTGCCAAACCCCCCGTACAATTTGCCATCATGCAACTGTACAACGCAAGATCCATGTCACTTTATGTAGTGTTAAATAAACGCGCCTTGAAAGCTGCTTTTTCGCTTAACTTTGTGCTCGCTCTGTCTATACCACGCCACACCTCTGCAAACTATACTTCTCTCACACCGGAAATCTATGCACGATTTTCCGGTAGCAAACAAGGCCAAACTGTTGTCGACGTATAGCACCGGAGGGCTGGTCCAGTTTTTTAAGAGGTCCCCAGGTCGCGAACGGCGACAACGAACGCGGTGCCACCTTTTAACCTGGTTGATCCAGACGATGAGATCGAACATACGGGATAGATCCTCGACTCCATTAGGCAATATATACCTTCGGCCAACCGTTTGGTCAACGAGATTTAATTGAACTGAACCAAGTGGGCGCAGCCAAATGAGTTCACTGGTACTTACTGCAGTACAATGGTTTGTCTTGCTATTGGACATATTCGCCGAGCACCGCATTCTGACGCCATGTAAAAATAAGCCATTCACATACTGCCATGTTACAATAAAAACTTCGAAAGCTTTTGAACTATATTGAACTTTTTCACTTATCCATAAATTATGGTATCACGTCCTTGATACAATTGTTTTTTCATCCCTGTTCCATCACCACTAAATATCAAACGTGGATAGCTCTAACGAGAGTTGCATGCAGTGTAACGTTGGGTATGTACTGCAGTTTACTTCACAGAAATATAAATAGAAAAATCTGGGGACAGGAACTTTCATTCAAAATATTTTGTTTTCATACAAATACATTGTATATAGCCTGAATCCACTCATCCACTCCTGCTATAGCCCCGCATTAGGGCTGCAATATATTCAAATAATTAAAAATGAATAAAAACCTATTAGCTCTAGCGATTACCAAAGGGTGCAATATACTTCACACACAGATGAAATGTGACAGCAATATAAAGTACAGTCGCGTGTCTCAGTTTTGAATTCGTGGGTGTGGAGTGCATCAGAGCTTACACATACATTTTCGCTCTGTGAAGGAGAATCGTTCTGCTCGACGGCCCTGCCATGGTGGTCCAGTGGCTAAGTATACTCGGCTGCTGACCAGCAGGTCGCGGGATCGAATCCCTCCTGTGGCGACTGCACTTTCGATGGAGATAAAAATGCTGTAGGCCCATGTGCTCAGATTTGGATTCACTTAAGAACCCCAGGTGGTCGAAATTTGGCTGAGCCCTCCACTACGGCGTCTCTCATAGTCATGTGGTGGTTATGTGACGAAAAAACGTCACATATCAAATCAAAATCGTTCAGCTCAATGATGAAAGGTTCACGCATAATTTCCCCTTGTGGAGACGAGCAATGAAATTTTCATAACAGATATTTGCACTACCAGAATGTGATATTTTCTTGTTTATTTGTGTAGAGTGGACCACAAATATTCATGCGGGAGAGATCGGGAGATAAAGTAAACGCGGAAGTAGTTAAATCAAAGTTCTTCAAGGAGGTGGCTTTCAGAGAGAAGGTTTTATTGTCGAACATTAGTCATTGAAGACAATGCCATTACGCTCCATGGTGATTCGTGGACTGGACTGTGAAAAGCTTGCATTAGATAATGATGTTTTGCTACACAGTATGTTTCGGCCTGCGAGTTTGTCTGTCTCTGTATCTTATCCTCATCATTAAAAGGTTGGTTTCTAAATTTCAAAGTAAACTATACTACAACACCCCTTACTGTTCCAATCTTCTCGTTGTGTTACGACCACCATTGGTGCAACACATCATTTCTTGCCTATAACCGCCAGTTATAGCTACCGCACGCTTTGAATGCCAGCCTTTCTACATGTTTAACGTAAGTATCCATCGTGGGCAGCGGCCAAAATGAAACACACAAGAAAAGGAAACAGAGCAACCACTTGTCCTGGTTTCTCCTCTTGGGTGTTCTCATTTCGTGCGCTGCGCAGGATGAATGAGTTCCAAATCGCCCATTTTCTGGTTCTGCTAATGTAATCAACGGTTCTCACGTGAATAGCTCGGTTACGTGAGAAGGTGCAGTGCCATCTGTCGCTTCCGTCTCAAAGTATGCTTGCGTCAGTTCATTCCACTCCCCCAAAGGCGGCCCTAGCTTCAGGTTACACCAGCTCCTATTTCCTGTATTCCAAGACCTTCTCACCTTGTTCCAACCCCTTCGGAGTACAGCTAGACTTGTATGAGAGTGCATGGCGGAGAGGTGACCTGGCGACCCGATTTTCCCGCCCCTTTGTGTCTTGTGTCTTCCGAGCTGCTCCTGCTGCTCTTAAAAGGGCGGCGTTCCTTAGTCCTTTAGACCCGCGTGCAGCGACACTAACACAAAAAGAAAAGCATGCACGTTGGTAATTTAAACTTCGCGCACTTTCCATTGAGACCCTGCATTTCCGAGTGTACACAAAAAAGACAGAAAAATAAAAAAAAACAGAAAAAAGACCAGCAGGGTCTCTCATGCATACGACCAAAAAAACTTGAAGGTGAAAGCCACCTTTTTTACAGCAGAGCTGTTATCGTCAACGTTTGTCATGCAACGTAAATAGAAAATTATCGTCATCATGAAGTGTTAGTTTGCTTCCTTGAAAATATGGCACGTACCCAATCTGGCAGAAAGGCCAAGAATTCGTAGCATACATTTATATGTGCTATACAACTATTTTTTTAATGAATTTATAGTAAAATACCAATAATGCAAGAAAAACCACACAAAGAGAAAAAGAACTGGAGAAAAAACCAAAAAAAAAGAATTTTAGAGATGTTGATATTTGAGATATTGAGGTGACTACACGGCCACGTTTACTTCACCTACCCATTCAGAATCTATGTCTCAAAACACTTTTTTATGCGACACAACATTACTTATTAGAGTTGATATTTTCAGTGGGATACGTTGATTTGAATTTGATTTTATTCTTTTAATCAACGGTTTATACCCACTTCGGGGGATTGGCCATGAAAGCGTTTTTTTTCGTCTTCTTCATCCTCTGCTTCTGTTCCAGAACACTTGAACCGATTTACCTGGCGTGAGATGCAATAACTCAGACGGGCGCAAGAAAGATTACCGGGAGGCAGAAATAAAGAAAGAAAGAGAGAAGGAGGAAAAGATAAATTCTTGATGAAAAAATATTTTTGGTGTGGCGAGACTGGAGCGCGCCATCCCAATATCCGAATGCAAGCATCGTAACCGCATGGCTATCCAGACACTTTTTTTTTACATGGTATTTACTACAAATACAGTTTACGTATATACGTAGCGTACCACTTAAGGACGCTCAGACAAATGTACAATGTACAATGGACATTATAAAAAATATTTCATACAACACTGTCTAAAAGAGTATTTGAGTAGTGCAGTTGCTCTGAATGGATGTACTCTGGCAACCCATCCGTCTTGATTGATATGTGGGGTTTAACGTCCCACAACCACTATATGATTATGAGAGACGCCGTAGGGGAGGGCTCCGGAAATTTCGACCACCTGGGGTTCTTTAACGTGCACCCAAATTTGAGCACACGGGCCTACAACATTTCCGCCTCCATCGGAAATGCAGCCGCCGCCGCCGGGATTTGATCCCGCGACCTGCGGGTCAGCAGCCGAGTACCTTAGCCACTAGACCACCACGGCGGGGCGCCCTCCATCTCTTCTGTGAATCCAGCCTCGAGAAACTTAGAGCATACGGCGCAATTTTCTCTTTCTCAATAGATTTATTGATTCTCTTCCACTCCCCCCCCCAGGAAGACTTCCTACACCCCACTCAATTTCGCACTGCCTCCGGGATCCATGGTCACATGACGGAGGGAAGTTCTCATGTAATGACGTCATGGTATGTGACGGTAGTGGCGTAGCTAGGAGGTGACACACCGGGCTCATGCCCGTACCCCCCTCCTCGTAATGGTTTTTCGCCGTGGCATACAGAGCGAAAAATGACCATTTTAGGGGGTTGCCCCCCTCCTCTCCCGCCGAAAAAAATGTCGGCCTACAGCCTTGTGTGACGTCTAAGTAACGTTTCGACTAAGTAGTAAGGACGTCGCACATACTCTAGATATCCGGCGCCATCATGACGTGATACGGTGATGTCATCATGTGGCGATGCTTATTTTACATCACTCGTGAGGCCTACGCGGAAGGTCAATATTGGTGTTTAATTCGGCATCTGAGTCCCTTGGCTTAAAATAAAAAGCCCCATACTAATAAAAAACGCAATAAATATTTAGAGCATATTTTACAAAAAGCTGACAAATGTAAATGTCTCATAAGGATTTCAAATTCCAATCATAAATATATTTTGGGGATAGTCTTGCTGATATCTTCGGTGATAGCAATGACCGGTATAATAGCAAAACACGATCATACAGAAAATTGTGTTTCTGTGATAACCTTGGTGCTAAAGTTAGTGTTTAGAATTCCCGTTTCGCTAACGAACTTCTACGTTCGTTTAGAATCACAGTCGTAGTTATTCTGTCACCACAATCTCTGAACTACCGATAGCGCTATGCTGCTGAACAGTGGGTCTCGGGTTCAATATTCGGCCATGGGGGCCACCCTTACTCGAAGACGGAATGCAAAACTACTTGTGCATGCATGCGCCAGTGCGCATTCACCATGTCGGTACTCAGCTTGTCTGATTTGCTTTGAAACCCAAAAAATTGCATTGCTCACAAAACCTCGGGGCTGCTGTAGGCCGATCGATTCCGGCAGTAGTGTTAAATTGGCGTATGACTCAGTGAAGTGGTGAAGCCACCATTCAAGGTGACACATAAGGTGGCTTTAAAAAGCGTAGTTTTTTTTTTCTGTTTCAAGTGATCACTTCATTTCGCGCATTATGCAAAAGCATTCAGGTGCACACTTTTTTTATACGCTGTCGACATTTCGCGACCCCAACTGCCATCTGTATAGTTAACCCTACCTTTCTTCCTCGCTTTCATGCACTGTATTGGGTTCATCATTCACCGGTTATTGATTACCGTACGTCTGCGTTCACAACGTATGTTAAGAATATGTAAATGAGTGCACTGTAGCTAATCGACACGAGCACTACTTGGAACTTAGAATTTTATGTTTGCAGTTATTTGAGAGGTGAAATTACTAGCTCTAACTTGCAATTGGAGTAATAGCAAAAATGTCAAAAAGGAGTGGTCGTGATGCAAATTTCTTTATCCGCATGTGCTTGGAGCAGCATGCAATGCGTGATGCCTTCTGTGGTGTCAATGCCTGTAAGTTTGTGCAAAGACAATAACAGCAGCTGCTCACGTTGTTTCCCTCTGCATGATTGCGTCAAAACAGTCATATTCCTATCATAAACGCGTTATTTGAGTAGAACTTTCGGAATACATTTGGGCCGTACATTATTTTCAGTGTTACTTCGAGTGATTAGCACTAGTAAGGATGACGACACAACAAAGGCACCGTGAACGCAGAAGCAAGTCGTGTGTGCAGTGTACCTGTCTGTCTTGTATCTTCCTCTTAATCAGTGTCAAATAGCGTGAATTCCAACATCGCCACCTTCGACGACTTAGACACACGTCAACCAGACGCACGTATCTCCTTTGTTACACAACCTCGGGGGAAAGGGTCAGAAGAAATAGACAAGAGGTAAGACGGTACTATCAAGGTACATGTGCGCTTTTTATTACACGCCTGCGAGCAAGTGCTTAACCTGCTATATTTAAGAACAGCATCAATGTCCACACTATCATAAGTATGAATAACTGCAGTGTAGCGGCTTGAAAGCGTCATCATTTGCACATGTCAACAACGAAGACGCTATACTGCTAACGATTGATGCGTAAAGGTTCATCATAGCAAATGCAAACTAGAGCTATGTATTATGCCTACAAACTAAGTCCTTGAGCTTAGAAATAGGTACAATATACTAGAGATTTTCATTCTTAACACTGACTTACATTTCGAGATTTGAATGAATATATTACGCCATCCGTCCTGAAAATCAGCGCATTCGTGTCAAGAGCCAGGAAGCGCGATGAAAGTCGACAGATCCGGACGCAAGCGACGCTCTTTTCAAAAGAAGGAATGTGCCTGTAGGTGTGGGCGAAAGAAACACACTAACGACAGCCGCCTCCGAAGATCAACAACACACATAGAGACAACTTGGAACGCGCGCATCACCGCCCGAAGAGTGACGACACTCCCAAAGTTCACTCTTTTTTCGCTCGCTTCAATGTAGGCCGCGAAGTGAGACAAGGATGAGCTAATTTGAAGGAGCCCCAACAAAGACAAATAAAAAACGCAAGAAAACGAAATGTTTTTCTTCTACGTGATTGGCGCGTGACAACATAGGAGGGAGTCATGTCGCCCTTCTCGCGGTGCTGACGAAGATGATGGTGGCGACAGAGACACTCTGTTCTTTTGTCTTAATATCCCACTTTCTCGCGCTGATTTCCACCCCTTTTTCGGAAGAGGCGAGCGACGTCGAGGCCGAGAAAGTGCTGCGGGTATAAAAGCCTCGAGTCGCCAACTTGTCGGCATCTTCAGACGTGCTTGCCAGCGTGTGCACTCCGCCGTGCGCTTTAAAGGCGCCAAGCGAAGCGAAACCCGAGCGCTCGTTCAGGCGGAAGACTAAGCCTCGAGTTTTGTATTTTTCTTTTCACCTCGGAAGTTTTGAGCAGGGCCCACGGAATCTTTGCCTCTTTATCAACGCGTTTTGTCTTTTTTTTTTCATCGCCTCCGAAGGTTGCGGTTTCGAGAGACGCTACAGGAATGCTGACGGTACGTAGTTCACTCTTTCACACCTTTTAACGGTCCCATTGATCAAGGGCGTAGCAGGCATTTTTTTTTTCAGGGGTAAGGCGGGGGGCAGGGGGACTGGAGCGTGTAACCATTCTTTAGGTTCGTGCGTGCGTCTGTACGTGTTCGGGGGCACATGCACATACCGAATCTCTAAATACTAGGGGGACGAATCCTTCCACACATAGAATTCCCCTCTCCCCATCTCCTCCATTTCCGTCAATCCGCAAATGGGTTGTGCCTACCTGCGACAGATGCTTCCACATAAGAATTGACGCTTTCTGGTGGAACTTTGGTGTAAAAAGCTAAAACAAGACAGAACTACGGACATTGGTGTTTGTTCTACTTTTTTATTGTAATACCGGGCAGGCACGTAGCAAGGACTTTTTTCCGGGGGGCGGGGGGGGGGGGGGGCAAGGCTTAATTTTTTTAAAGACAGCCGTTTAATATAGCGAATAGAAAGACGTTTGGCCAGAAACATGGCTGACTGGGTGGATATCGGGGAAGGGGAAGGGGGGGGGGGGCTGCTTCCATTGTCAAACCCTACTTGCCCGATGACGGGCTTTAGCACATTATTGTATGCTTATATCCAGACGGCACACACGACTTTTTATGTCCGAAGTCTCGCGCATTTTAAAAGTCTTGTAAGCAGTGTTTTGATTTTGGGGATAACACAACGCGTTATTATTGCATAGCTGGTGCAGTCTGTACTATTCTTGTAGTTGGATGGGTGCGAAACTTTGTCGCGTAATAATGACATACGAGCAATCTTATCACAGAAGCGTGTCTCTTGCAATGGAGGTGAAGTGCAGTAGGCTCATATACTTACATTTAGACGCGCAATAAAAAACTCAATTTGGTCAAAATTTCCGGAGCCCTCTACTTCAGTGTCCCTCGTAAACATATTAGGGTTTTGGGACGTGAAATTTCAAGGAGGATTCTTATGCTACGGGCATTAAATAAAATTGCACTCCAGCATGAATTTATACTTTCGGAGTCTCAGTACACTAATACACACCATGAAAGCAGAGGTAATGGTGAGATAAGAAAAAGAAAATTTGTGATAACGATATTGGCACTTTGCATGTCAAAACAACGATATGCTAGGCAGGCCATACTGAAGAGCTTGATCGAAAATTTTGACCATCCAGGAATTTTTAACGTGGCCCTAAATCCAAGTGCACGTGCTGCTATACTGTTAAACAAACAAAAAAAGTCGTTTAACTATTTTTGGTAGTTCTGGCATGTCATGTATGCGAGTCTCTTTAGAGACACATGCCTACTTTCTTTGGTATCATTATACTCTCTTTGAGGGGTGGTGTGACCCGCAAGAGGGGTAACGTGTCATTTTAAAAATAACCACATAGGTTGCAAGTGAGGAATACCCAAAGGGAGTCACGCATACATTTTTTTCCCTTGGAGTATATCATTTTTTCTTCCATTCTAACGCGAACGCCTTCGAGGGCGAAACAAAAAAAAGTCAGTGTGTCAGTGTGCGGTTTGTCAGCTGTATTGACGGTTGGCGCTAAATATGGTGTAGAGTTCTCACTACAAACTATTCCTTTGCATTGCGTTCTTACAGATTTTCTTACTAGGCCTTCTACTAGCGACAGCTAACAGCGAAGATGGCAGAGGGGAAGAGGCGCTTGACACAGAAGGTCACAGCTTCGGCAGCCTTGGTCAGGCCACGACTTTTCGGCAAGCTGGAAACTTCCTTCAGGCTGCTCCAACATACGGACGTTCGACGTATGGGCAGTCGGCAGGAATAGTGAGTTTAAGCAAAAATTGCATATCTAATTTCTTTTTATGCTTTCGGTTTATAGAAGTACTTATTAGCTAGCATGAGTAATAATTCCGAATCTCGACATTTCTTTCCTAACATTCTTTTTGAACATGTTCCCTTCCCTCTAACGTTGCAGTTTCCCACATAAAGCCAAAGATTCAACCTGAATTCAGTGCACCACAGGTCAAAACTGGCATGTAACTTTGCACTGAAATAACATTTCTTGATTATTGACTGTATATAGAAAGCTTCAGAAGACACGATAACGCAGCAGTGACGCTCGCTACAAGTAGACATGAGTTAGGGATCGCAGCAATTTTTTTCCTTCTCAAGTTCTTTGGTGCCCTAGCGCCTTTCTGTTGATCAAAAGGCCACGCGAATTAGTTTCCTAAAATTTATTCGAGGCGACTGTGGTGCTGCGATCGTTCAGCCACCGTGGAAATGATGAGTATATAGTGCCCAAATTTGCCCAGTTTTCGTGCTGGCGGTGGTCGCACGCATTTGTGACTTTTTTGTTGTTTTATTTTGTTTTTCTTTCGAATAATAGAACAGACAGTTTTGAACATTATGATCCTATTTAAATTGGTGAACCTAAATGATTAAGGTGGTGAAGTGCAACTGCCGCTTATGTGCTAATTGTCGTCTTCAGGCAAAGCCTCTTCAGGTCAAGCGAAGCCAAACGGAGCCGAAAGTACAAAGATTAGACAAACTTGTGCACTACCCATCATTCCCCCGCTGGCTGAAGCACCATGCGTCGCAGCTTTTATAGACACTAACTCCTAGTTCCCTCTAGTGTATAGGAAGCTATATGGTTGGGCTAGTCGGTACATTCGGTTGGCGACAACTTTATTGGTAGTTCGGCAGAGCTTTCGTCGACCGGGCCTTAGGTCTTGCGCGTGGGAACGTCAAGACCTTGCCTAACGGCTGGCTTGTGGACCTGCTGGACGACCCAGCGTTGGTCGCCGAGGCTGGGGCTGCGTATGGCAGTGACCCACCGCGGTGGAAGGGTTACGGATTTAGCACCTTGCGGATTTTAGTACAATCCCAGAGCGTGTGATTTAATGTGGCAACCTCAATACGGCATACCTTGCATATTTTCGTCGGATATATATTGCGGTATAGTTTGTTCATCAGGGAGGGGTCAGGATACGTGTACGTCTGCAGCTGTCATATTCCTTCTGACATATACAAAATGCATCACCACCGCTGAAGGAAGAGACAAAAGAGTTCCCCGTGGTATTCCCGCACCATTAAGTATTTCAACAAGCTCAGTTGTCTAAGGAGCACTTATAAGCCACAGTACCACAGCAGCCACTTTTATCCCCCATTCTCTTTCGTGACAGTAAGATGTAGTCCTATACTGAGTAAAAACAACTAACAAAATCACATTGACGTTTCGTCCCTTACTCAGGTGGCATCCTCACTATACACTGGCCACAAATGTGAGCGGAGGTTTAGGAGTCAGCTGTTCTCATACATCCTCGTAGACGTCCTCGTAGACGGTAAAGGGTTGCTGCGGCAAGCCGATGCGTCCCCAGCCATTGTTACCGAGCCAACGCCGGCGCATTGTTTAGTTTGAACCTACACCCCATCGTCTGGCAGTAAGACTTTGATCTGGTTGAGTTGGTTCATGGCAACAGGAAGGTGCAGTGTGACTGAAACAATGGACGAAGAATACACAGCGCACACAAGCGCTTACTTATAACTAGATTTATTTGACATTAGAATAGCCTGATATATACGCATAAACATGACAAATAGCACATCATTGTTCACACAAAATTGGTGATTTATTAAGCAAAGTACACCAACAACATTACTTTTTTTTTCTCTCTCTCTCTCTCTGCAAGAGCCATTTTGGGTTTCATGAATTGGCAACTTTGGGTAAATGGCCTTTCGAAAAGAAAGAAAGAAAGAAAGAAAGAAAGAAGGAAAGAATGAAGTCATGGTGTTGGCATATATTGCCTCATAAACCACATACGATCATATCTGATTGAAGACAATTCATTTGTCAAGTTATGGGGCTATCTTGGTGCTGAATGAATGCAGTTATAAGAAAGCGATCGCTTGTTTTGTGAAGTCTTCATTCATTGTTTCAGCCACAATGTGCCTTCCTATTGTGTAGCAGTATTTCGTTGAGATGAAGTAGACTATTTACAATCGTTAACTCACCTTGCTTGTGGAATACTACTGTATTTCGTCTGCTCAAGTGCAGAGTAGTGAATTGGACAGTCGTCTAGTTGACCTACTTCTAATACTTTTCCTTGCCTATCTCAGCAATACACAGTTTTCATCTATTGCACATCTTCCGTTGATAACGCACGTATTTACGTGAACGAGGTCTTCTGCTTCCTCGCTATAGGCGTTGCGTCATCCATGTGCGAGTTCACATATCATATGTGGTCCATACTGTCGCAGGACAGCCGTCCTCAGCCGTTCGACTTCGGCTACAACGTTCAGGACGAGTTCGGCAACAACCAGTTCCGCCAGGAGAAAGGTGACGAGTCCGGTTCGGTGCAAGGGGCGTACGGTTACACGGACAGCTACGGCGTCTACCGCAAGGTGCATTACGTGGCCGACCAGAACGGATTCCGAGCGGACATCAAGACCAACGAGCCTGGCGTCAAGCAGGAGAACCCGGCCGACGTGCAGCTCATAGTCGAGTCACCGCCGCAGGGCGTGCTCCAGCAGGCCCTGACAGGCTCAAGGTCCGCGGGCTTCGCCAAGCTCCCTGCTGTGGCGGCGCCCGGCCAACCGAGATTCCCGTCGGGCCTGAATGCGTGAAATGCTCCTGATACGAGCACGCGGAAGCTGCCTCCACGCACGCGTAGGCAGCCGGGTTCACTTCACTAGACGTGGAGTTGATCTGCGCGGGTGCATACAAAAGTCAGTCGGAGATTCAACTCAAGTGGAGACTTTCATTTTGTGATGCAGTTACTTGCACTGCTCTTGCTAACGTGGGACAGGGGGGAAACGGACACGACAGTCCTCTCATGCGCCACGGTCTTGAGAAGAATGCAAGTAACCGTAGCATGAAACCCTATGAACTAGCTCAAACCAATACCCTTCACCTTGTGTTATGTGCAGCGCTCACGTTAATAACGGTGGCCTATATGCACGAAAGCGCACAGGGCAATGATAGCAACTGCTACTCAAAGCGTGGGGCTCTACACTTGTCATTGCTATAGCAACTAAATAGTATATATCCATCTTTTGTTCTATTATTTTTTTTGTTTTCTAGGTCATTGCTAGTGCAGACTCCGTAGACCAAGGTATCACGGTAATATCAATTTAGCGTCGAATGAAATACCGCAAAGCGTGAGCACTCTGCCAGTAGGTTTTCATTTACTTTCACAAGCCTCACAGCTGAGGTTTCGTTCCCAAAAGATCTCTACGCACTCGAATGCATAGAAGTCACGTGCGCCCTAAGGCACATATGTATTCGATAAGTCCTCAATAAATTTATTTGAAATCCCAGTTAAATCATTGTATGTCTTGTGGGAAAGAAGATACAACAGACGTGGTCAGCAGGAAATGTATCAGGAAATTTAAAAAAGACCGATGTGCAATTCAGCTTGTTACGTATTTGCGCACTGCTTAAAAGATGAACACTTGAAATAAAGGACTGGACGGACACAAGCCTGAAAGGGGCTTTTACGGCACCCCGTGAGTTGTCGGCTCTCTACAAAGTAGAAGAGACAAATGTGAAGGAAACAAGTGCGTGCACAACTATCCACAGAAAAGTTCGTTGATTGCGTTGAAAAAGTGGTGTACGTGATTCCACTGACATCTGGAAAAAAATTACGTAGGCCAGATGGGCAGGTGCCTATAAACAAAAGACTGCGAGAGCACTACACCAATGTGCATAAATCGGCGCAAGGCCACCTAGGCTTGTATTGTCAAGGTTGCGGACGCCAGCCGGATTTCCGTAAAACTAAGGTGGTAGCAATAGGCACAATAATGAGATGACGTGCGAAATAATTGAGGCATTCGAGATTATCCGCCGGGGAGATGACTGCGTCAATATGGCTTCTTTGACACTGATGCCGAAAGAAATTATGTATCGTAACCCACAATGCAAGATGTGTGAGAAGTGCGTGTTACCTCGACACGACTGGTCATTTGAATTGTACTGCTTGAAATTTTTTGTAATTCATTTTTGTAAAATGTTTTGTAACCATTAAACACGATTGCATAGAAGCATGATGTGTCTGTCCAATAAACTGGGTTGAAAGTTTGCGCTTGTGTCCGTCTAGTCCTTCATCTTAAATGTTCGTCCTCTAAGCAGTGCGCAATAACGCAAAAATGAAGAAGTACCAACTTTCACAAGTTTCACAAGTTTCGTGCTTCGTCTATAGTATATCTTCCCGACTAAAATGGCGATAACAAGCGTGTTGCTGAAACTTGTAAAATGGCTTGTCAGCATAGACGTACGCAAGCGTCATTGCTACTTTCACGTGACTGTTTTCTGCTGGAGGCAAACAAGCCACATTTTAAGTTCAATAATCTGAAAACACCTTCCGAGAATGTTTATTTCTCGTAGATTTGTAGAAGCCAAGCTGGGAAAGCGTAATGATGCATGTGTGTGATGCGTTTTTTTTTTTTGGTTTGATGCTCCAATCTCTATTCACACTTCAAATGTCAATATTACCTCACCTTTGTAATATATGTTGCGCAACAATATATATGCCTCACGTAGTGGCCGTACAACCACTCACCTTAAATTATAATTCTTACGAGCTCTCTGGTGTCAACAAGCTTGTGGTGCAGCGGGCTTGGCACGTATGCATTATAATGTGCATATTTCCCAATACAACGAACGAAGCGTCTAAGGACGAACACAAACTTTACGGTGAACATGTGTCCCCTGTTATTATTCTCCATGCATGAAACAAAAGGAAAGAAGTAAGGTATATGAGTGCTGCTCCAGTGTGATACCACTCGAAACTAGCTGTACGCTACCGACAGACGAAGCGACTTCAGGCATAGCCACATCGCGACGAGTTCGTACTACCGCAGAAATGAAACATTCCTAAGGTGCGTACCGATTTCCAAGCCTCGCTAGGCGCATTATGCAATGGGCAACTTGTTTTCCCGCGTCTGTACGGCGTTCCGAGCTGCCGTATTATGACAGGGCACGGTATACCTCACGCAGAGCCGCGTCGGTAGACACGTCACTCATGGACACCAAAATAACAATAATAATAAAAGTGACGTGATAGGCCAAGTCACGCCTTTTTCCCACTCCGTCTTGTATGCGGCCAACGCTTGTCTGGAAAAAGGAGCTTGTACGCTGTCTCGGATATTTCACATGAGCTCCCGATGTCTTGACGTTGTTTTATTTCTTTGCTGCTTGTTTTTTATATCTTTCTTTTCTTCGTGAAGCTTTTACTCCATGAGCCGGCTGTGCCACAAGACGTCTTATGTGTTCCGCAAGTTTGCCGTCGCTTTTGTATTTGTCTGTTGTACGTGCACGTCATTCTTTTCCTTTTTGATATACTTTTATACTTGCTGGTGTCTCGTAGATTTCGTGATGTCGGGATCAATAAACAATATTTCTTTAGGTCTGCCGTCATGCCCTAACGTCTTCCATCACCCTTTTCAATATTTACAAGCATGAGTGGTACACGCCAAAAAATAAGATATTAATCGTGGCTCTTGTTGGAAATCAATATAACAACCGCACGAACGAGCACTCACGGGTGGTATTTGCGCATAAAAGGGATAAAGCCGCTTGGTGTCACGTTTTAATCGGCAGCAAGTACTGATCTGCCTGTTAGTGATAGCAAACTTTCTTTTACATTGAATAGTAAGTATAGCGAGTGCCCTTGTCTGAATATTTTTACAAACTCTGTCTCTCGCTGTATCTTCGAAATGCAAGAACATATATGCTCTTAGATTTAGGTGCATGCATGTTAAAGATCCAATGGTGGTCAACATTGAACTTGAGTAGCCCTCTCAGTAGTGCTTCGAAATTACATTACAACTTTAGCACATCAAACTAGAAGCTTATTTTTTTTCTCTTTGTGTAGAGTAGAATGGCAAAGAACATTATTATGAATAAGAATATGCAGCCTGACACGCCGAACAATAAAACCTTTGGTAACTTCGCCATATGGCGTCTCTCAAACGCACACTAAAAGCGCAATAGACGAGCGTTAGATAATACAGCACTACAAAAAGCCTTCTTACTCCAGTGCAACAACTGCTCCTAAATTTTTACTAATACGACTGCTTACTCATACTCATATACAAAACTCCAATCTATATATATTTAAGGTCGAATGCCGTTGCGTAAAACAGTAAGGAGTCTTATTTGGTTCGAACATGTAAAGGAGATAAGTGAGATCAACAGACAGGTACTGAGAAGTGCAAGAAATAAAAGAGGCGTTTCTTTTCATATTCAGGCGTTCATTATCTCAATGCTTGTAATTACGGGCCTCAGACTACTTAACTATGAAAGATTACCAAGGTATCGCATTCTTATCAGCACAAGCATTCACGCGTTCACAAGCACGCACAACCAAACACACGTGCTTGCAAGAAGATGCGGATTAGTATCGTTTTTCTCGCTTTTCCCGTTTCACCAGAGATGCATCTAGTTTTTGCACATGATGTGAAACATCAAGAGGACAGCAAGAGCACGCATCTCGATTAGCGCTAATGCGCCGAGGCTCAGAAGGATCAAATCCTTCGCTCGGCGGTGGACACTCGTGAGCACTGTCTGCGTTATAATACACTGATCCCAATCACCCGGGTGCCAGGCTCTCAGAATGCATTCACCACTGTGGCGTCGCTAAATTTAACACTCAATTATGCACGGCGCGCCCCTGAACCTCTCCCTTTCTTTCTCACTCTCTGTCCGCCAGACATCGCATCAAGCACGCTAATTCGTAGTAGGGAGTGAATGCGTCCGTTCCAGTTCTAACCTGCTCTTAAAGGAAGACTGGTAAACTGAAAAAAAAAACGAAACTATGGCGCGGGGATGATTTCGCTCCTTCCGAGGACTGTCCTCGGTGACCGCATGCTCGTCTGCGCGCCCCTAGCGACGATAACGCGCTAGCCCTCAGTCACAAGGAAGCGGGCCCCTTCCACTTTTCTGTTTTGTCCGGGGGTCGTCTCATTAGGCTAGGACAAAGGAGGGCCCTCTCTTGCGAGAAGCAATTTGCGCCGCTAGGAGAGCTATCGCTTCGAAGTGGTGCGCTCCGTAGAGGCTAATAAGTCGTTCCTCGCGGCCCGCTTCATACACCGTGCTGCACTCGGGAATCCCATTCGCACGCTTTAAGAGGCTTAAGGGCATCCCGCCTCCACGGCCAACCAAAACTCTTCTCGAAAATCTCGTCAACGCGGGTCATCTCTGGGCGCTATACCGTTTAACGCTCGCGTTGTTACTTCCTCATTACGGGAAGCGCGAGACGCTGAGAGCTACAGTTTTTGTCTTGGACCGTTTGCCCTCTCTGCGCGGGACGAGGAACGAAAGCAGGGACACGATGATGGATTGGGTAGATGGCATAGCGTTAAGCGAGGTATAACATGAGCTGGGCACGTAAGGCTACACACAAGTGGCGAATATGTCGTTATGATCATGACGATGGTTAGCCTTCGTTATATAACATCCGCCTGCAGCGTGGAACTAGCCAATTATCGGGTGGGTTGCACATACCAATAATAAAAAAAATAAAGCCAATAAACCGGCATCTGTGAAGGCTAAATTAAGATACGTCACTCCACCGCATGCGAAGCTGACCGGAAGTTTCGTTCCTGTACTTTCTAGAGCATTGCAACACGCGTCAAATAAAACCTGCACAAACTAAAGGTACAAGTGTTGTGCGACGTTTCATTCGGAAATACGTCCAGTTTCCAACTGTGTGTTATCGCTGGAACATTATATACATCAAGAGTCATAGGGGCGGTCAGGCATTTTTTGGCGTCATATGAGAGTGCGGATGTGACCTGATAACAAAAAGGCCTTCAATTTGAGTATTACGGCGTGAGAAGGACGGACGGACGACGCAAATTAAATTCTGATCGCATAGACTTCAAATCACCGTAAAATGGCAAAAGCGTGAATCACTTTTTAAACACAACTAAGCACTGAGACGTAGTTGCTTTGTGGAAAGCATGCTAGCCGTCTACC